TCTCTCTCTCTCTCTCTCTCTCTCTCTCTCTCTCTCTCTCTCTCTCTGCTTACTAATCACTTACAATGTCCCAAAAATGAGAATTAAACTTCTTGTGCTGTCAAGTCAAGCGAGTGCACTGACAGGAGTCTCTCAGTATAGAAAGTAAAGATATTGAGTGGTAAAAGTTAGGGATCAGATAAACTCTCGCTTCCTTTTCTATGTTGCCAACTTTATCACTCTTTTATCATTACCCCCCGCACATGATTGCCCCCCCCCCCCTTCCCAATCTCTTGTACTTACGTCGACTACGTATTCATGCCTGCCCATCTCATTTTACACGTTAAAACGTAGTTGATCAGGAACAGTTCAACGCACAATTAAACTAAAGACCAGGTTTAGCCATCGAAATTTGAGTTTAACCATTGAGATTTAGTGTAAGCAAAAGTAAACGACAGGGTCTTTTCTCAGCAAGAACCCCTATCTAATAATACCATAAACAATCTGTTCAATGGAATCAATAGAAGGTCGTTATTGTTGCTCTGACCTTGTATTACTTAAGACCAGTAGTGGATGTGTGTAGTAACATACTATACAGGTAGTGTATAAAGCTGAACGGAGGTTGGCGGTTAAGGGGGGTGCAGTACCGTGATGTCTGTCGTCTCGACCTTAACTTCCGCATTGGACCGTATTTTAAGGTGCGTCAGAGGTGTCAAATGCACGTCAATGCAGGTGTGCGTTGGCACTAAGTAAACAGGTAAGGGATCTTACATAAGATCTGGAATATGCATGTGGTGCGTATGTGTACCAAAGCATTGGCCAAAAGGTATGACGATGGCGTAATGTACGCTCAGGTTTTTTAAGATGTTGTGATTGGATATGTCGCAAAGAGCTTCCACAATGTGTGTGTGTGTGTATGTGTGTGTGTGTATGTGTGTGTATATGTGTATGTGTTTGTGTGTGCTTGGGGGAAAGGGGGTAGCCATGGTGTCAGTAAAGGCTGGTAATAAACGCACTCTGTGTTGTCACAGCGACTCCTTGGTCCTTGGTCAAGATTTAACTCTTGATAAAACAAGTATAATTTATACCATAACGTTCATAATAGTTTGTACTGGTCGAGAATAATGTTATCTTGGTATAATTGTCGGGCCATACCTCTCCCCCGCCTGTTTTGCATCTTCACCCCCACTTATGCCCCCGACTTATGCTCTGTGCCTGAACGCACGCTTGCAAGATCGACCTTGGGCGAATAATTTCGTCCAAGGATCGACCAAGCAGAACACGGTCACAGGTGCGCGTCATCACAGTGATGCGTCATCGTTTCACATTCCGGACGGTTTTCTTGAGGATAGCAAACTTATCTTGCAAATCCGGTTAGCATTGGCAGCAGTGTAATAAATTATATAGTGAAATAAAGTAAGTCTGTGAAATGAAAATGTCGACGAGCTATTTAAAGGGGGATGGGAGGAGGGAGAAGAAGAATTGAGTAGGGGGTTGTGCGACTTGGATATCAAAACTGATAACGACGGAGAGGGGTGGTATTGCAGGAAGAGGGGGAGTCCTTTGACCTTAAACCTCCTCCCTCACAGGTAAAGCAGGCGCATCCATAGGTTCCTACCCGTTCTTCGTCTACAGGAAAAGAAGAAGTTTGTTTCACTTAAAGGGATAATAACTCTTCGTTTTGGCCAAAAAATGAATGTTCCTGGAGTAAACAACAATTTTCCCATACTTACCAATGGTTAATGAATCCATTTTTACATTCAAAGTTAGTCCCTGGTTTTTTTTCTAAAAAGTTTGGTTTTTTGTTATAATCTCTTAAGAGATTATAACAGAGTATAGCCATCAATGGAGGTCACATGGTCTAAAGATAAGCTCAGATATCAGAATAATAGCTATAACTGCCGTTTTTGTGGTACATCAGAATATGTTATATTTCTATGAGTTGTTCACAATGTTTTTATTGTGAAATATAGATTTCATACGAAGAGTTATTATCCCTTTAATGTACAGCTAAACAGCAGAATAAAAACATAATCTAATATCTTATTTCTCAACAAATTGCAGTAAGCCTAGCGGAAAGAAATGATACATATAGTTTTAATGATGCCCCACAAATATAATTTTCATGACATTAGAAAGTCCATAACACAGGTGAAAAGATATCTTTTACAAAGCGAAAGGTATACACCATCCTAGCTGCCTGCCCTTGCGACATCTCTGCATTTCTCATTGTACAACGTCCATGCAACACTGGAGAAATAGCATTCAAATTGTTTCTGTGTGTATCAGGCGTCGTGTGAATATTATTTTCTTTCTTCTCTTTTTTTAGTCTGCAAACAAACCAGTGATTGAATTATTCCTGCCGCTAAAAAATCGTCACCACAAAGTCATACACCCCATTTCCATAGATTTTTAGATCGATCTATCCCTGTGGGGAGTCTCACTAGATTACTGTCAGCTTGGCCGGCTTAGGCGTCTGTCCCGCCTACTAAAAGCTATAAGGGGGTAATTAACTATGATGTCCGCTCGGCTGACTGCAATTTAGCGTGAACCCCCAGGGAGTTAGGTCGATCTAAATCTTAATCTTTAGATCGATCTAAATCTCTGGGAAAGCACTCATAAACTGGGAGTGACAAGGTGTGCCTGAAAGCCTAATGTCACTACTTGAATCTAAGAGGAGTTGGGCCTTTCTCGTATTACAATAATTTATCTATTCATTTTTCTACACACGTACTCGCCTTGCTTATAAAAGAAAAGGGTGAACTATATGTAAAACAGCAAGAGTTAAGAAATAATTCCCATGAACTGCCCCTATAAAGGTGTGGGCGATCATGACTTTCTACTGCTTTTTTTCTTTGGCTGTTTTCAATACGTTTGCACCAGCAAAACTTTTTTTTTCGTGTAGGGGTATATACGAATTCAATGATGGTAAAATCTAGGTACATTACAGAGAAACCGTGTTAAAATATTATTCATTTCGTAATGTTATTAGAAAAAAGGAAGCAGAAGAGCGTTTATTAATTTATTTATAGGATAGAATCTAGAAATCTTAGGTTTAACGCACAAAAACGTAAACTTTCTTTCACAATCTCATTTCTTGTAGATTTAAAACAAGTAGTTAGACTTTGATTCTGTTACAAACCATATCTTGAAACCACAAGGTAATAAGAGGGATAAACAAGGTTTTAAAATTCTACCTAGTCCTATCATGCTATATCAGTAGATAACACAGACTGGCCTACCTGTTTGATTACATTTTTATCTGTTTATGATGTCTCTACACTTTAATAAATGACATGTTTTTTTTCCTCTGAATTATCGCAAGTCATAAAGTCAAGTAGTCTTTTCAGTTCAGCACATTACGTCGATATTGCCTGTAACGAAACAATAATATCATGTTGATGTAAACGACAGATATTAATTAGTCACATATGTGAAAATAAAACAACCACTAAAACAATGCGGGCGTATTTTAAAACTAATTATAAATAAATGAGTTTTCATATTTTCAGATTTAACCAGACATGAAAAATGAACATGTACCCCGGATGTGAGAAACCGCAGCACGGGATAACATGGGCCAGCATAATACTTATCGCCATCAATTGCGTTAGTGGCGAAAACGGCACAATTTGCCCGCACTTCTGCATTTGTTCAACCAGCACATTCCAAAATGAGACGACTTGGACGTTAGATTGTTCTAGTCATGGCCTTGGGCCAAATATTCCACAATTTCCCATTCTGTCACTGAATGGATCTCTTACCGTCTTAAATCTAATGAATAACAGTATTGATACTCTATACGACAATGCATTTGGAAATCTAAGTTTTATCAGTACGCTCTACCTGTCCAATAACAATATCAGTATTATTTCAAACGGTGCGTTTAGCACAGTAAGGTTTTTGTCGCGGCTATATTTAGACGGAAATAGAATTAAGGTGTTTCCATACGTACCAATTAACAATCTTACACGACTGGAAGTCGTCAACTTGTCTCGAAATGAAATTCAAGGAGATAGTTTCAATACAGAAGATGATTTGTCGCATCTGACGGAGTTGGACCTCAGCAGCAACGCGCTCACAGAAATCTCACCTAACGCATTTTCAAGTTTCCCAAACCTGAGAGCTTTGAACCTTGCGGGAAATTCAATCTACAATATTTCTAACGAAGCTTTTAATGAAGCTTTACACACATTGGACCTGGGTGGAAATTCTTTGACAGAGAGCAGAGATTTTGGGTTTTTATTAAATTTACGGAGCCTGACCAGTTTGAGACTAAGTAACAATAATCTAACAATGGTTCCGAAAATGTTAGGGAATTTGACTCAGCTTCAGTATCTAGATTTATCCTATGCTAATTTAGAATCTTTTACCGATAAAGATTGCAAAAGCCTGGTAGCTTTAAAGACGTTGGATTTATCACGCAATGGAATTAATGTTATAGACGAAAATACGTTTGGAACACAAGGTAACTTGGAGCATTTGTACCTTCAAAACAACAACATCAGAACTTTTAAAAAAGACGCTTTTCATGGGCTCAGGGATTCTCTCATATCTCTAGATATTTCCTATAACCAACTCCAACTTTTGGAGTACGAAGTATTTGCCTCTTTACAAAACCTACAGCAATTCAACTTCCATGGCAATTCTTTGATCTGTGATTGTCAGCTACTGTGGTTACGGGAGTTAAACACCACGAGTGTTCAAGTCTCTTTCTGTGCAAAACCAGCTGAATATCTCAACCACACTGTACTTCAATTCCCCAGTAGTAACTGTTCGGTGACATTCAGCAATACGACAATCAGCAGCAACTTGACAACGGGTAATTTCAGTGGTTTAAGCACGGTCAGTAGCAATCTTACAACCAAAGATATCGGGAATGACGTCACCACTGACGGGGTTGCAGAATTTTCCTCTGCAACTTCACACACTTCCACGGAACCAGCTGAATCAACGACAACATCAACAACAACGAGAGCTACTAGTGCATCAACGTTAACAACAACCAATTTATCCACGACAATCAATTTGCCAAGTTCAACCACACTTAGAACTACGGAATGGTCTGCTGCACCATCAGTATTAGGGTTGAGTTCCACCGTGGTCATCGCTGTCATTTCTCTTCTGGCGTTTTTCGTGCTCTTTATCTTGTTGTTCATTCTCTGTAAAAGAATACGCCACGGTGCACACGTAGGAACTGGTGACGACACCCCAAGACCCACCTCCCGTCAATCACTTGTTAAAGCCACGCCCATGACTGACAATCCACTAACCAGTAGGAAGAAACTAGTTTACAACAACGAATCATTTGAACATGATCGATCAGAAAGACTAGCCAGGACTAGGAAGAAATTTAGAGAGAGCATTAATTAATTATAAATGTTATAGATGTAGTTTTTGGAAGGGACTGAAAGACAACAATGACCAGAAATATTTGTCTGCACTAGGAAGTGATTTGGTAAGAAAATTGAGAGAAATGGAAATGGAGACGCTGCGCACAGGCCGATACTAGTCCTCTCAATGAAAACCAGTTCCAATCATTCCGTCCATAAAATAGCTATTTTAGTCATTTAGCATCCCTCCATTTTTTGTTTCGTTGTTATCATGTTTGTGATTTTTATTCACTGCACCAATTAAAAGCAATTTTTTTATTATAAACATTTTGCAATTTTCTTTCCAGCGTATGATAAGTATGCATTTCAGATATAAAACAAAAATTATAAACCTATATTAATGAAAAATTGTAATTACCCAATACTGTATTATCCACACATGAAAATAATGAATATAATTAGAAAAATCCATTGCAGTGTAAAATAATGAATATTTTCTTTTCCTTTTTTTGAAATGTTTTTCTGTTTTCACCCAGGACTTTGTAATATCAAGGTGGATGAAAGTGCACTTTACACATAAAATACTCAGTATTTGCATACTTTGTTTATTGACAATGCAAGTGTATCCCAGAATTCAGAAAATAAATAATGAAAAAAAATGGTGTTCATATCTTTTAATAAGGAGGGGTGCGCATATTTTATAGACAACATTGCTTAATTTTGGAGCCATGAACGATCCATGAATATTTTATCAAACGATAATCATCGTTTTTAAGATCTATATGGAGTAAATTTAGCAATAGTACACTTTCACCTTTGAATTATTACTTTTTTATGATATTATGTATAAAGTTTTACATAAAGATGATTCGGATTTAGAGTGAAACTTGCGATAAAAAAAGTGAACCACCACAAAAGCTCCAAAATCAGCAAATTCAATATCGTTTGTCAACTGGTGCCAAGTTCTGTCAGCTGATTAAGACAGTCCTCTGTGCAGGTGCGCCCATGATGGAATACTGCATATAACAAGGGACCAATCCCAGACCCCATCGTAACTATGAACAAGGAGTTATAACATCTGTTATAACTCCTAGGTCTAAGTGACATGATAAAAGACTGCATACAATAAGTGACCTGCCACAGCGCGTAGCAACGGACTTCCATCGGTTCAGTTTTTGCTGTCGACTCTCAGAACTGCCTGTAGTGCAATGTACACACTCTTAACTTTCAGACAAAATAAAAGAATCGTCAATATGCAGAGATTACCAGAAGCCAATGAGATGCCACGTACTAAAATTAAGTCTGATATCATCTATAACAGAACATGATGTCTCACTATAATATTTTTTTTTTCTACTCAGAAATGGGATGGCTTATTATCTTCGAGTCCTATTACTCCGCCACGGAGCAAAACCGCCGGATAAGTAAATCGTCAATACTTTTACTTTGCTCACATAGAGATTTCTGTGTTTGATTTTATGAGGAAAAGACAATGTTTTATTTTTAATTTGCATTGTTACTGGTTCATGTTTGTGATTATTACAATTGTTCTCAATTTCATGTTAATCACATTTTAATTTTTTTCAAAAAATTTTCAATAAAAAGAATTAAATTTTAAACTAGACAACAAGGCTGGCATATATAAAGTGACCAAACAGCAGAAAACATTGCAACGATATTTACAAACAAGACAACAACACTTTCCAATAGACAGACTTGCTAGTATAAATGCCAGACTAGATAAAAAGAGTGGCATTACATTAGATCCACACCTGGGAAATGCCAATTTTTAAAAAAAACTTATAAAAATTATAAAAAAATCACTTCAAAAATAATCGTATCAGACTGGTTTTCATGCTTGAACAGCACTTTTGTTTCACAAAATTGAGAATAAAATAGTTTTACTTTTATTGAATTTTGCAAGTACAAATTCCAGCAAAATGCATGGCAACCACAGACACAATGCCTGGCAAGTACAGAAATAGGTATTCAAGGAAGAGGGGTTGGAAGGAGGGGTCTGTGGGGATGCGAAGGGATGCAGTAGATAGCTCCCCAGATTGTCAATCAGTAAGACTTGCACTGCTTCAATATAGTTTTTCTTCTTATATGAAATTGATTTTTTCCTAGCTTCTCTGTCACCTCTTCAGTGGTACAATGTTACACCTGAAACGGAATATTGCTCCTTGTCAGCATACGACAAAATACAAATAATATCTAAATTTTCCCTAATTCACATTTAAAGAGTAAGCATTATTTAAAAACACTCAAATTCAAGATAGAAAATATCCAAACTCAAAATATAAAATAGCAAATACCTTAAATGTCTAGCTTCGTCACCATCATGCTTTTAATTACAAAAGCAAAAGGCTCAAAATACTTTTTAAAATCTTCAGGAGAACACATACTCATTAGAATCGCAGACTACTAAAAAGTTGATATGCTATCACATGAGAAGAAAAATGGACCAGAATTAAATAATTTTTTTTTCTTCTGTGATATCTTTTTACTGGGTGAATCAGCACATTCACTTTCTTAGTCAATATATTAGACTGGGTTCCCATACCTAGATCGATCTAACAGGATCAATTCATCTCCAAGGGGTTTTCTCGCTAAATTGCTTTCAGCTTAAGCAGCTTAGATGACTGGCATGCCTACCAAAGCTGCTAAACCATTAATTACCCCCTAGCAGCTTCGTAGACGTGAAAGACATCTAAGCTGCTTAAGTTGATAGCAATTTAGCGAGAATCCCCTTGGAGATAAATTGATCCACAGTTAGTACAGGGTCTGGGAATGGATCCCAAGTCACTCACCCCAGCAGTCCTTTCCCACTCCACGTCTGTGGTGTCAGAGACAAGTGTGTCCTCTCCCCCTGCCTTAATACAGTGACATGTAAAGGACTCTGGAATAAAAAAAAAGAAAAAAATGCCAAAATGTAAACAAAGACAGCACTGTTCTGAAATGTTTTTTTTTTCCATTTTTAACAATTTTTAACATAAAACAAAATTAACAGTTTACTGCCATTTTTATATGATCAACTAAGAAAATTGATGAGATGGGAAAAATATCAACAGAGCAGTGTTAAATGTCCAATTTCTTCCATTCTGAGATTCTGAACATAGTGAATGATTGAATCTGACAAACTGCAATGATATGAGTTTATTTCCATTTTTGAAACTTTATTACACAATACACGATAACAAGTTTACCATTATTTTTACAAAATCAACTAACAATGTTGTAAAGATGCAGGAAATGTCAAACAAACACTTTTACGTATCTTATTTGTTTAATAATGAGACTGTTAACATGCCTAAGAATTGAATCTGAGGAAATGTGAAAAATATGCTGAAAAGTGAAAAAACAGCATAACTTCTACAATAATGGCCCGATCATGCTGATTTTCGAACTTGACCTGCGTTTTATGAATATTCATCAGCTCTGTAAATATAAAGCCAAAAAGTAAAACTGCCCTCCACTTATCGTGTTTACAAGGAAAGTGCACGGCATCGGCATCGGCATCGCCATCGCCATCGGCGACGACAGACGCAGGTGATGGCAATATGTACAGACACATCTGTGTCTGTACATAAAAATATTTAAAGAATGATATTCATCACAGACACAGACCTTTGGCAAAGTGGTTTACTTGAAAATAAATTATAATTATTTGACATTTAAAAAAATTTGAATCAAGATCTGAAAAACTCATGAAAAATTTTCCTATCGTTTTAAAATATTTCCTATCATTCAGCAATGATCATTGGCTTGTAAACCTGACAAGCACTTCAAAAATTGTATTGAAAAAATTTAAGATTTTTAATAATTCACCAAAATGGGAGGTGTGGTTGGTACTTACCCCTTGACTGTGTTGTACAACTGTAGCAATATTCTGAAGTGTTGTGAAATTTTTGACATTGACCGATCCAAACTCGATAATCTCATCTCCTAATGTAAGACCCTGAAAAAATTAATATTTTTGTTCATTTATAACATATATGTGACACAATAATCTAGGGTATAGAAAGATAGTGAAAGTACCTTAACTTAAGAAAATGTCCTACTTTTACTTCAATCATACTTTCATCTTCCCAAAACAGAGAACATTCTATCTTTATTATGATATACTTCTAATCTTCTCTAAATTTATCTCTGTTGCACAGAAAAATTGTTTTTCAATTTTAATTTTGAATTTCCACTTCTCAGCCACCATCACATCAACATATATCTTGAAAAGATTTCTATGATAAGACAATACAAGATCTAAGATTTGTAAAAAATCTCTGCATGCCTATGAGGTGCTCTGAAGGATGGGAGGGAGGTTGAAAAATAAGAACAATTATATTACAGTTCATTCAGATGGTTGACATCTTTCTCACAGTAACTACATACTGCCTGAGAGGCTGGAGAGCCAGAGTCCACGCGGTCGATTTTGGCAAAAGGTTTCTCATCTATCGCAGTATCCACTTTTGTTTCTTGGGCAGAACTGTCTACCTCCATTGCCTGCTCTTTCTGTTTCCTTGCCTCCTCATGGAGTTGATAGAGATTTTCTTCTATTTCCTTCATCTTGGCCTTGTGGTCATTCTGGAGACCTTAAATATAAAGGTGATGTGATATAATATAATGATCTTTAATTGAGCTTACATCATTTTATTTCATTTATAAATATACTATTCGTTGGGAGGGGGGAGAGAGACAATTAATATAGTGTTTTATAGGGTAATAATAACGTAAAGTTAAATTAAGGGATACCTTAGTTTAATCATAAATTTTTCAAGAACATTAAGTTAAATTGTCTGCATGGAGTTGGCCTAGGCACTTGTTTCGTAAATACTTGCCAAGGTATACCCCCCCTCCCCCCTTGATGAAAATACAAGATATGCATAAGCCGTTTACTGTGCTTACTTACAAGCTATCCTGTGCCTTGCATGACGTACTGTGTATACATCTATATCAGATCTTGGATACTGTTCTTCATCTAATATTGGACCATCCATTCCTACTCCGCCTTGCTAATAAAAGATTTAACAGGTGAAAGTCGAACGTCACTGAAGCGGTTTAAACTTTAAAGTGTCGATTTCTCTACCTTTCAGAACACTGAAATGGTAGGGATAGCTGGCCTTCATATTTGTATTAGAGTGTGGCACTTAAAGGGTTTATAAGAAGATCATAAAAATATTATGCTGTGAGTGTGAATCAGCAAAATTCTTTTACAGTACATCTAAAATTTGCCTGGATGTAGAAAGAGTGCTGGTGTATAAATCGAACACAGTGAAGACAACTGATTTTATTAACACCACAGATACAAAACAAATACACTCACTGACTCCAGAACATCCATAAGTTCCTTCAATTCTGCTTCTAACGCATCTTTTTGAGCTATCAATTCTTTCACGCTAGCAACGCTGGGCGCAGACATCTTGGTTCTGGCATGGTGCTCTAAGTTTAGTTTCGAACAAATTAAATTCCTCCCTGGACAATGCATTTTTCCTTATTTTCGTTTGAATCTTTCCTGTATTTCGACATATTCAGCGTTGTGATGCGAAACATTGATAGCCCTTTCCACATTTATATGGGATCCGAGTCGATATGTGTTCTGGGATCAACAAAATATTGACAAAAACTGTTCAGTCAAGCAAATGTGAAATGTGGTCACTCAGTCATGTGATGCATGAATACAAAAGACCACACCTACTGAGAGCACACACACACACTGACTTTGCTGGAGAAGGACAGAAGGACTATAAGATATAGACTCCACAATTTATGTAAGTGTATTTGTATTAATTTATGAGAATCATTGTTTTATATTATACTTTTGTATATAGGCCCCTATTATATTGCATTTTATTTTTTATTATAGTGACCGGCTATCGGCTATCGTCTATCTGCTATCAGCAATTTTGAATAAACTGAAAATAAAGCCAACCGTGTACAAAAAGGAGTTCTATGTTCTTTATGACCCAATACAATATGCCACCTTTTGACTTACATTATTTCTATTTTCTTATCTAAAAAAACATTCCAATGGGTTTAACCACTACATGAGGCTCAATTAACAAAACAGATCTGTAAGACAATAAACTTTTTCTTCTTACGTTTTCTTATTCAGGTTCTACAAGGTCCGGACCTTTAAAGTAATCAGTGGGTAATTTTTGTGCCAAATCTAATTTTCCTTGACATTCAGACCCCCGTCCGTGTTCATAACATTGTATTGGCCGGGGTTTTATCGTTTCTAATGTTTCAGTTGGGAAAAAAGGTAGCTTTGCAAGATACCCCCCCCCC